CTGGTTAGCAAAGTGGAAACATAGATAGAACATGAAGCTCTAATGATGCCATTAAAGGTTGGACCAACTGAGAGCCATTTCTTCAGGAGCTCTGGTACATTACAAGTTAGACTCCTTAACACAAGATCAGCAGTTCGAAATCAGCAGCTGTGCCGATGAAAAAAGGCAAAACTTTCTACTCCTGAAAAAGAGTTCTAGTCTTGTAAACTCACAGAGATAGTTCTACTCTGACCTACAGGGTCACTAAGTCTGAACAGACTCATGAAGTGAGTTTGGTTTGAGCCATTTCGAAGTGAATTCTCTGTTTATTTATATTTAATAGCATCCTTTCTGATTTCACCTCCTTCTATTATTCTGTAAAAGCCTTTACTTTCATTTCATCATAAGCATTATACAGGATTAATTACTTTTATTATTATATGTTTAAAATCTCTTATCTACTGTGGGGAGAAGGGGAGAGAGGTCCCCCACAAATCACAGGTCCGGTAGGCACAATTGTACAGCGATAATAAGTAAAGATTATAGTAAAGTCATATAGAACATGAGAGGTAAAAGATAGTCAAGTAATGGAGTCAGACACAATTCATGGTAGCATTGCTCACCTCGGCCCCGCTTGATGGTCCACATGGGGGGAACCCGGCCGGGAGAGCAGGGGATCCCTCAGGACTGAGAACCGGGGAGTGTTCCCCTGGCCTGAGAGCCAGAGAGGGTCCAGGGAAACCAGGACCGGGGAGAGCTTTCCAGGCTCTGGAGAGAGCCTTCTCTTTATTGCTCACCAAGCGTTATATCACTTTAGAGGGACATGATTATAGAATCACACGTCACAGGAAGGGGCAGTATGATAGGCAAACACATTGTAGGAAGGGGATCTAGGATAGGCATAAGCGTAACAGGAAGGGATGAGCTAGGGGTGTGCCCATAGGAATGGGAAGGTCGGCCTGTCTGGATAGGACAGGCTGGATGAACAATCTGGAGGAGAAAACAATGGGGCCAACAGTTCCGGGGGGACATGGGAGGTGGGGAGGAGAGGGGAAGGGAAGAGGGGTTAACAAACCCAGGGACAAGGGAACAACAAGCAATCCAAATTGGTGGGGAGGTGGGTGTGGGAGACCTGGTAGGGCA